CAATAACGCCCCCTTCTGGCGCGATGAATAGATCTATGATAGAGGCAGGGTATTGAACGGTGACCAAAGGCAAAATTGGGGCTGATAAGAGGAAACATTGCGTTTAATGGTTTCCAGATGATGAGAACAATGTACAGTAAGGGCACAAAGTGTGAGATTCATAGAAAAGTTTTCCTAAGAATATTTCCAATCCTTTTCTCACACAAGAGAAAATTGGTTAGGGGGTGTTGGGTATAACTTTATGGAACAAAGGGGGCGGTGGACCGAAAAAGTTTGAGAATCATTGATTTAAGCTGTGCAGAAAAACCCTATTTTCTATTTGAATTAGTAAGAAGTTCAATATTAGAATAGGCGTATCCAAAATAGGAGAAAATTTGTACTCAATGATCCATTGCCGTTTCTGATCAGTAGAACTAAATTAGAAATAACTGAGCTATCAAATCGAAGTATTTATACACGTTATGGGTGTCAGCCCTTCCTGGCTGGGACCCTCAAACTTAAATAAAAGGAGTTATTATTCAATTTTGAGGATACTGGCAACAGTTAAATTATTGTGTTCTTGTCATACTGTTGTTTTGTTCGCGTCCGGCCTGTTCTGTAATACCACATTGCAAGTTGTGTTTATTGAAAACAACATTGCGTTAATGATTTTTGTACTTCTATTATCATAAAACATCGAACATTTCACCTATACTGTGAATCCACTTAAAGGTGGATATACGTGATTAGAAAACTTTGAATTGAACAATTTAAAGGGGCTCTTTAGAAGAAGCGTGGTCCCCCGCACTGAACAACGTAGTTTGAATTCGTCAATGATGCAACTGATCTAGGTAAATCGTCACAGCAGAGTGAAGACAATCAATTTCCGTGCTGTATTCCGGATCGCCAGCTTGAAATGTTGTTTAGAGCCTTAAGTTTCCACGATAAAAACAATCTAGATACCGAGTTGATTTAATATCACAATTCTGTCAAACGTTTCAATCGTAAAAGTTAAAAATTCCCATTTTCTGTATCATTGAGATTGTATATAAAGAAGTTTGAAAATTAATCTGAAGACCACAAGATACTTTCTCTCCTACATTTTACATCTAAGCAATGTTTTAATTTCTATTAAAAAATATCTTTGATTTACAAAATATAAAATTTGGTTGATACGGTATACAAAACGGGACTTACACTTTATGGCAGTTAAAATCAACGTTATTGTTACAATTTGAATTCTTCGCTGATTGATACAGATTGTGTTTCATCTCTTTTCAAAAATCATTTTAATTCCATTCAAAGGTCGAAGGATTAAAGAAGAATCCATTAGTAATTCATTCCTTTGTTGCATCGAAGTGAATTTAAAGTTTCGTATAACGTTGGCAAGAACTATTTTTTCTTCCATCAAAGCAAACTTCTGACCTGTAAAATATTGACTGAATATACAAGATAATATTTACCATCCTTACAATAAAAATGCTCCTTATTGTATAACAAAAAATTAACATAAATCGTTTTTATATTTAGATTTTTTCTATTAAAAAGTTGGCTTCTATTATATATTTCAAAACTTTTACTTGTTGAATAGAAGTCAGTTAACCGAAATAGGACTTTTGGACTACACTGTAAGTAATTAGATTATTCTTTTAAAATGAAAGTTGAATTAATTTGTTAATTATATTAAAACAAGATTTTAACAAAGAAAAGAACAAGATCGTGCATTTCTTTTGTATACGTAGGATGATCCATAAGTCTAGAACCATATGATTATACTCATTATTGGTTATACCTTTACAGGTAAAGCATGGCGCTGACTAAGGGGAAACGAATTCAAATTATTTTCACGGTAAACACGCAGTCAGAGTGAAGTACTGAATAATTTTAACGGCGATTTCCAGGGCCGTGTTAAGTAATGCACAATACTAGGCTTAATTCAGTATTCTGAACGGCTTACTGGACGGCGTTAAGAGCGTTTTCAGCATTATTGCACGATTATTCTTTGCCAAATAACTAGGAAAACTGACAGACGAAGTTAAAATTAAATGAAAAGAAATATAATACATTGAAATTAAAATAGTAACTTTTTTAACTTTAAAAATGAAGTTCTTAATATAGCACGAGCAGCCATTACAGTCGTAATCATAATATTCTTCAAACGAAAAACGAAAAGATACGGAATTACATCACTAAGTACAGCAAGTATACTAATAGTAGTCTGAGTAAATGAATAAAAATTCAAATTCTTACAGTGAGCGGAGTCATAATTACTAAGAACATTGTTCAATATCGTGGCAGAATTACGCGTTACTGAACACGGTCCAGACTTCCCACTAATCACACACAAGAATCTGTTGCAGTGTGTTAAACCCTTCGGCGACTTCTCGCTGACTGTGAATCTCTACTATTAACTGAAATTCGTTTATTCTTACTTGCCTTACCTGTAAAAGTCTACATAAAGATTAACTTAATTCTTATGGTTCCAGATTTTTAGGACTTATTCATGAAAGTATTCTTTCTTCTTAAGATTTCGAAAGTTAAACTATCTTAAAAAGTTACTAGTTACCTATACAATTTCTGGGTCCTGCAGAAAATGGAATATAAGCGAAAGGACTTCTTCCCGAACTATTTTCTAAAAGAAATCTATCGGGATCGAACAGTTCTGGATTAGGAAATACGTTAGGATCTCGATGAATGTTGTTGATGCAAATTAAAAATGTACTTCCCTTTGAGACTTTATATTCACCTAAGGGTAAAACCTCGTGATTAACTTTTTAATTATAATATAATAATAACTTTATCGTGTATTCGAACTTACCAATATTTATTTCTTTGTTGCAGTATCGCGCAATGAAAGGAACCGGAGGACACAATCTCATGCTCTCCTGGGAATGAAGAGAAATGTAAATAATGCATAATGTTTTAGAAATGTCACTATTAATACAATAAATTCCTTTAAACTTTCATTTAAAACTGTCATATACAGGATGTTATACGAGAAAATGGCAATATTTTTAGAGACGGCTAAGCAGCGTTTTGCGAACTGCACATACATCAAAGCTTTGCGTATCTCAACCAAACCACGCCCGATTAGTATGTCTTAAAGCGAAAGTGTTCTGAGCGTGAGAAAATTTACCATAACTCGGAATAAATACGAAGAGCAATGACCGAGTAAAAAAATTAAGTTCGAGACGATAGCAAAAACAGTACCCCTGGCGGGATTCGAACCCGCAATCCCCGGTTTAGGAGACCGATGCCTTATCCATTAGGCCACAGGGGCGGTACGTATAGTACTGTACATACCAGGTTTCGTTTTCTTCAAATCGTCAACCTCATGTTAAATGCTCGAGCACAGGGAAGACGTCTGTCTAGAGCAGTGTTTCTCAAAGTGTGCGCTCTAGAAGATTTCCGGGTGCACCCTATGGTATTCCAGAGAAACATTTGCCCAGATATAAAAATAAATATAGTTAGTCTATTGTATCATTTCATTACGGAAATACCGCACTTTTTGTTAACACATCATTATTATATTTATTATTAACACATCATCATATTATTTTTAGATAAATACACCCAAAGAAAATGGATAATTTCTCAAAAAGAAGCATAATATTGAAGAATCCAATTCTGGAAGTGAGCAAAAGTTAAGTGCAAGTAAGAAAGCAAAATCACAGCTTACTTGCAAATATAATGAAAGTTATTGAAGCTTTGGTTTCATTTGGACCAGAAGTAAAGATCATCCTTTACTGCTATGTTTAGTATGTGAATGTAAAATGGCAAATGAATCATTGCTTCCTAGTAAATTGAGTAAACACATTTTAAAACTACACACTCTAATTTACAAGATAAATCTATAATATAAAGAAATTGCTTTTAGCCCTTGATTTAATCAAATTAATTAAAAATCTACTAATGTGAGGTAGGGATAAGTCCTTATGCCTACCTCACATTAGTAGGTTTTTAATTAATTTGATAAATCTATAAGTTTTTTCAAGAGATTGTCTGAACAGCAAACAAAAGTGGCAAATTCTTTTAAAAATATAATGACNCGTTCGGCCATCCGACTGTCATACCAAGACGGACTATAACAATTAATTTTCCTATATACTATTCTTAATACTAAGTAGTTATCGTTTGTTTTGTTAACTTATGGCAACGCAACATTTGGGCGATCTGCCTAGGGGGATGCCTTCCGTGAGGTCTTTTTTAAGGTTAAGGGTAACTTGCCCCTTTCAGGCGTTACAGACGTGGAGAAAACGCGGAAAACTCCACGTGGCCAGGCGCAACCCACGACGGAACTCACAGTGTTCAGAGTACAGAACCACTTGACCACTGGTGGACCTGAATAGTTATTAATTTGCTATTTCAAAAGGATTTATCAAACTACATTTGAAAGTTGACTAATAGATTTCTTTATTAAACCAATACGTACTGTACATCAGTAATAATAATAATAATAATATTATTATTAGATAAAGAATGCTTACATCCCACAGTACAGAAAGTAGACTATAGAAAGAAATTAAAATATTAAAAACAGATATTGAATTTATCATCGAAAATATCATAAGGAAAAGTTAAAATCACCTTCCCCCTCTATTAAAAGAGAAAAACAAAAACCCAACTATTGAAGGGTATTGATGAACCCAAAATGTACAGTACATATTGGTATTATATATATATACCCAAATAAAATGGATAGATTTCTCAAAAAGAAGCGTGATATTGTAGAATCTGATTCTGAAAGTGAGCAAAAGTTAAGTGCAAGTAAGAAAGCAAAATCGCGGCCTTCTCGCAAATATAATGAGTTATTTAAACTTTGGTTTCACTTGGATCGGAAGTGAAGATCATCCTTTACCGCTATGTTTAGTATATAGATGAAAAATATCATTGCTTCCTAGTAAATTGAGTAAACATTTTAAAACTATACACTCTAATTTACAAGATAAATCTGTAAGTTTTTTCAAGAGATTGTCTGAACAGCAAACAAAAGCGGCAAATTTTTTAAAAAAGTATAATGACTGTTTCTGATAAAGCTCAAATCACTTCTTATCAACTGATAGCAAAAAATATGAAAGCTCATACTTTAGGTGAGCCACTTATTTTGAGGTGGCTATCAAGGGGAAAAGTACTTACTCGTGTACACGATCTACGACAAGAACTTATTGAGTTTTTGAAGAGATGAAACAGTTAAATTTTTGTAACCTTCCTCGATGCGAAATTTGGATTCCTAGGTTACAGTATTTGGCAGATATATTTCAGCAGCTGAATATTTTGAATACTAGCACGCAAGGGAAAGAAGAAAATATTCTCACATTCACTGACAAAATGAAAGCGTTTCAGAGAAAACTACAGATTTGGAAAAGAAAAGCTGTTGAATGTAGTTTGGAAATGTTTCCATTAGTAAATAACACTTGCGTAAACGAAACTCTTTCAATAATAGTTTAACACTTAATAAGTTTTGAAGAAAAATTGAGTCCTTATTTTCCATCACTTAACACTGAACAATACGATTGGAATAGAAACCCATTCATGGAAGCTTCAAGTGATTTTGGTTTAACATTAATAGAAGAGGAAGAACTGGCAGTTATATCCACTGATCGTGGAATGATGATTAAACACAAGGAATTGTCTCGTGAAGCCATTTAGATTTCTGTAAAAGAAGAATATGTGGCAATATCTAAAAACGCTTTAAGCATTTTACTACAATTTTCAACATCCTATTTATGTGAATTAGGATTTTCTACCCTCAACGTAAAAGTAAAAAGACAGAAATTCTTCAATGTATTGACGAGGAAATGAGAGTTTGCCTTTCAAACAGATGCTCAAACATTGAAGAACTCGAACATAAGACGCATCAGACTCATGTTTCTCATAAACAGAAGAATGAAAAAACTTAACACGTTCGCTCTTACTACGAATGTGTATATATATATATATATATAAAGATAACTTTTTGTCGTTTTTTATTTTCTAACCCCCCTTTTTTTACGAATTCTAAAAAGCATAACTGAAAAAAAATGTAACATAAAAATGTTTTTTAATATCAGAATAAATTTAATTTTGTCTTATTTATTTCGTTTAATTACCATAAAATTATGCTTGAACTTTATATATTTTTTCTTTAATATTTGACTCAATTATTATAACATATTTCTCGGAAATTTGTATACAGTGCGCCTACAATTATTTGTAGGATTTTAAATGTGCCCGACTTCAAAAAGTTTGAGAACCACTGGTCTAGAGCAGTGATGGGCAAACTACGGCCCGCGGGCCAGATGCGGCCCCCTGAAATGTTCTATCCGGCCCGCGCGACATTATTCCTAATCTGACGAGTAAAAAAGAATACAGGCTGTGGTGGTTGATGCACCACTTAACTTGAGTGTTCGTTGATTATATAAAATAACCGAAGCTTTATATCTCACCATGAAAGTTTATTTACAATCACGTAAAAAATTTTCTTTTACACTTATTGAGTAAAAGCTCGATCGGTTACAAGCATGCTTCGGTACAGAACATCCACTCGTGCGTAGCGTAGCCGAAAGAGAGAAAAAGAAATATGGCGGACGGCCTGCACATGTTTTTATAGCGCCACCTGGATTTTCAGATTCAGCGCTAGGTTACAATTATATTGGCCCGCCTAAAGTTTTCTTCTTTTCCTTTGGCCCGCTCTTTAAAAAGTTTGCCCATCACTGGTCTAAAGCAATGCTTGATAGCTCACGCATCGACAAAAGTTTGAATTTAATAATCAAAATGTTAAAACGTTTCCGGTTCGAATAAATAAGGCTTGTAGTTGATGAATGTGAAAATATTTGCCAGATAGTTTCGAAAGTTGATCACGGTTAAATAGAATAGAACAATTAAAAGGCTTAAGAAAAATATCACAATGCGATTTCTTCGCGTGGGGTTGAAACAGTACAACTCCGCGCTAAACACAGGCGAAAACAATACAAACAATCAAAGAGCCAGGACTCGACAAGGGTGTGATTCGAACCCACGCGAGTATAACTCAATGAATTAGTAGTCCACCGCCTTATGATCCCACTTTTTTTAGTTGCAGACGTTCTGATCAAAAGAAACAGAAACGGCAATAGTTCGCAATTTCGTTTGAAATTTTATGAATGCCGTAGCTTTACAGTACCAAGAAATACAAGTTTTCTGTAGGTTGAGAGATTGCGACTATTCCACAGCACTTAGCAGTGCCGAAGAGCAGCATCATAAAGGGATAGCTAGGTTGATCTTTAAATCCTTCTAGCCTTGAAACAATTCGTTTGATGGGTTACGTTTATATGACAATTTTGGATCTCCTGGGCCTCTAGATTATGCTGCAAAAATATTGCCATTTTTCCAAGGGATGCCCTGTACATAGTATGATCTAGAAGTCAGTTAAATGTTATTCAATAGCTTCAGTAAAAGAGATTGAACTACAAAAAATAATATGCAGTTGTTTCAAGCTGATTTTAGTTTACCAGCAGCCGAGTAGATAAAACCACTGAACATCGGTAGTTGATCGTGGGTTTGAAAATTCACTGTGTGGAGTTTTCCGGAATTTCTTCACGTTGGTAACTCTAAAGAGGGGGCCAGTTTACCATAAAACTCCATAAAACTCAAGAATTTTATTTAATAATTTACATACAATTGCATCTATATTATTTGATTTAGTAAATTGACCTAAAAAGATATACATAAAATTTTTGGGCATTTTCATTTATTCTGTAAAAATTAAAATATATTAAATTAAGATGATATAAAATATAGTTTTTCATATATTGTTATGGGGACACTAAGAGGGCCTATTTTCCACGCTTACAATGAGGATAGCCACATGGTGAGAAAAGGGTCCGACATATCTGGCACAGACGACCCAGAAACTTCTGAGTTTTTTCGAACTGCTCAGATTCGATCTCAGATTTCCAGAACTGTGGCAGATACAGGACTACCGGAGCTTAAGCTCTTCCTACTGATACAAAAAAAACTTAATCTAAACAAGCTTCAAAACATTGTTTATAAAAACGTGTTCGTTGCAAACTGAGAATATCATCCACCAGTGGCTGAGTGGATAAAATCACTGAATAATAGTCGTGGGTTCACGCCTCACCAAACGACTGTCCTCATGAAGTTTTCTGGGTATCTAACATCTAATAAGGAGCATTAAAATCTCTCAGGAGGAGCCTCCTCTTGAAAGATCGCCTTATTCCATCAAACCAAACCAAAGCGTGCAAGCTCGGGTGGCCTTGGATTAATCGAAAATTATAGTGAATAAAAAAGTCATTTTGATTTGATTTCAAGAATGTAGTAATTTTTAAAAATTACAACCTGGTGCTAAGTTTTACATATTTTACGACACACTTAAATAAATTACCTTTATTACACATTCTAGATATTTCATTTGTTTCACATCTCCAGAAGTAATGCTCCGTTCTTTATCATCGCCAAATATTTCAAAAAGTTCTTCATAAACTTTATTCTGTATGTCTTTGTACAAACCGAGAAAATACAATGTCCAGCTAATACCCATAGCCGTGGTATCGTGACCCTGAAACAACAATACAATTGTTAAAATGTTGTTCTAGATCTGATTACTTCATTTTGAATCGAGTTGGAAACACAATATATAAATGTTCAATATTATTACTACTCCATCATAAATATTTACCTTTCAGATCTTTATTCGCATCATGATAAATAATGCTAACAATCATTTATAATAATGCAAATTAATCTTAATACTGAGTAATTATTTCAATACATTTTTCTTTGTGCTCCAGAAACATTATTAAATGTAACCAATAACAGTGATGTAGTTGCAAAAAATAAGTGGGTATACGCCGTCGACCATTAATTATACTAGCATATTGGTACACTGTGGACACATTGATACTCAACAGTATAGTCATATATATTTAATGGTTAGTATACATTTAGGTCTCAGTGAAAACTAATAATAATAATTATGATGTTTGCCAGGATAATGATAAAAAATAAAATGCACGGCACCATAACTTAAGTGTAGAGCAGGCATGAAAGACTATTCAATCATAATACAAGGAAAATCAGTCCAAAATTTCTATACTAAAATTAGTATATTACAAATGTAAATCAGTCTCTGTATACAAATTTTAGTATATTAAAATTTGTATAGGCATACTAAAATTTAATTTAAAAAATCATTTTCTGTCTTTTACGACCTACGCTTTATTACATCACTAACCAGTAAGTAATCGATCTAAATTCCTGTATTGAAAAAAGTAATAAAATCTACTCTGAGAGTTACTGATGAATTATTAATAGTATATTATGCCTCTGTTTTCAAGCTACATAATCAAATCAAAATCTATTTTATATTGTCTAAAAATGCAAAGTATAATATTGCATGAATTTACATTATGGACATTAATGTTGATTTATTCGTTCACGCAAGATAACAACCCCTTAAAGGTCATACTGGACCATATTCGCATTTGATCTACAGGTCGACTCGCAATTAAATCAATCGGCATAAAGGACGAGAATGATGCCCCTATTTGAATTATCCATGTTAAATTGTCAGGATTCAGATCAGTTTCGATTCAGAATCTCACGGCAATAGATATCATTCTGCACATGAGATGGAAGTTGAAAGAAATCGCAATGACATAGACACTTATTAATTATTCAAATATTTATAATAGTCTCCGTTTGAGTACTTCTGGATCCGATACTACGGACAATTATCTGAAACATTTATGTGATTCGATAATACTATGAGATATTCACCTCAAACATAAAAGTATCGACTTCTTCTCGAACGTCTTCTTCGCTGAGATTGCCATTAACTAAATGATGATAAAGTAACAAATCCAAAAATGCTCTATTCTTTTTACTCTTAAATCCAATCATCTCTTCTTCCACAGATTCATTTTTCAATCGTTCTGTTAATTCCACTTTCTTTTCTTTTATTACCTTAAAAATAACGTTAATAAGTATTTTAAATTTAAATTTTGGTACGATATAATTTTATATGAACTTAATTACATTTTTCGTAAATGTATGAAGTGTTTTCAAACATTTTTCATTCAACTTTCTTAATTTACTTAAATAGAATATAGTGTTGAACCAGTACCAAGGATTTACAGATCGCGTCATGATACAATGCGAAATGCTGCAAATAAATAAAATTAGCATAATTGTTACATACTTCATTATAGTTTTTTCGGCAAAGCTGATTTGGGCTAATTAATCAAAGAAAATTGCTCATTTACTTCTTGACTTTTTGAACATATTTGGAATCAGAGAACTCTTGAGCCTTCAGATGCACTCCCATTGCTGAATCTATTTTGAAATGTACAAAATTTAACAGATATTTCAGTTAATTGATAATCTCTTGTTAATTTTACTTCGATGCGGAATTACAGTACATAAATTTGAACAGCAAGTTATAAAAAAAAAGAAAAGAAATCTAACTTACCTCCAATAATGTCTAAGGTACAAAGTGAAACAAAAGATATCACATTGATCTCTTGGCCATTAGAATTTTCTAACTTTTTAACTAAAGTACACGAATGCCGATTAAAAACAGAAATAAAATCATCCAAAATTCGGAAATGGAAAGCTGGCGTTAACAATTTTCTTCGATTTCTCCATTTTGTCCCAGAACTAATTATCGAAATAATTATATATATTTTTAAATTTATTAATACTTTATAAATTAAAGGACTGTATTTCGAATAGAAGAAGAATTTACGGACAAATTAATATAACCAGGTTGAATGCAACCTCTTTTGTTATTCAAACTATCTCCTGCGGATGATGTTTTAAATATAGAGTAAAGCTTTTTCTATGGAAAATCGTTTTCCATGGATTATCGAGGAAAAAATCCGAACAATTCTTTCATTCTCCTATTGAAATACGGTTTTAAAACTTTTAAAATTGAATTTATTAATTTTATACGAATTTTTAAAGTTGCCTTATTATGAAGGATTTTAAAAATCGAAATTTCAAAGTAGTGTAAAAACATTTTAATAGATCATTTCTATACTCTGATAATATATTTACAAAACTTTTCTCAAGTTTTATTAAATTAAAAAATTACTAATATCGTTATAACAATGTTTAGGGGAGACCGGGGCAACTTCGGCATGCGGGGCAAGTTTGTCAAGCGCTTTTTTTTTAAAACAAATTAAAAGGAGATTTTGGTTATAGGTTAGGCAGTTGAGTTTTATTGGTGGCTTGTTGAGTGTATTGTTTTTATTGTTCTCCAACAAGCGTAGTTGAATTATCAAGCAAATTTTCATTTTCGTTGAATTCCATATAATATTTTTTTTCCATTTATATTGAATTGGCAGGTTTTGTTATAATTCCATGATAACGAAAGTTACTTTTCCTGTTAGAAGGATGTAACTTCAACTTATTCACGTGGCCAGATCGTGGCTTGGCATTCTGTTCTCAGGGTTGTACTTAATGTTTCGAAATCATGACTAGCGGGGTAAGATCGGCAACATAAAGCCACATTAGAAGCAAAGGATAAAAATCAAACAGATGATAAATGAAAACATGTTTGCATTTGTTATTCATGTATATATGTCTTTGAACTTGCATTTCGTTGTAATAATATTAAATGGGTGTTGGATTTGTATTTCTTTGTTTTAATAGTGAATTCCAACTTATACATTGTTAATAACATAATTTTATATACGTGCCTATCTTGCCCCATTACTGTTGCCCCTATACCAGGGGCAACTTTAATAAAAATAATTAAAATAATTACAACTTTACAAAAAGAGAGAAGTTGCCGATCTTGCCCCTATACCCGGGGCAACTTCGTCAATTTCTCTCTTCTTGTAAAGTTGTAATTATTTTAATTATTTTTATTTCCAAACTGATTTTAACCAGTTCTATAGTAAGGTAACATTCCAATAGACAATATGCAAAGCTTTTTTTTCAGTTTACAGCAGTATTTATTACACAAAATTTAAGTAAAGCTTAACATGCCGATCTTGCCCCGATCTCCCCTATATCAAATTAATGTAGAATATAAAAATAAGTTTATTGATTTATAAATGAAAATAAGTCTCGAAAACACGGTATACTCGGCGTAATTCCTTTTTAGGCTTCGAACAATTGATTCCTTAGCATCTACTGGCAATATATTTATGATATAAATTTTTATACTTCGGAAATACATTTGTTATCAGTATCGAAGGTATTTATTGTAATTTGTACTGTTTAACAATATTTCTTTAAAAACCGAAACAGTAAGATATGAACGTCTTGGGTGCCATGTAGTAGACTACTTTCTGCTACAAAGGGTTTACACAAATGCTCTTTTCGATGAAAAAATGACGTATTTATCTATATATATAAAAATGAATGTATGTGTGTGTGTGTGTGTGTCTGTCTGTCTGTCCTTTATGCATTACCACACCGTTTATCCGATTGCCGTGAAACTTTGGGAAATTGTTTAATATACTCCGGCGAAGGTTTGTGGCATAGTACGATTGCCATAAAACTTCGGAAAGTTTTTTAATACACTCCCACGAAGTACATTTATCCTACGATAGATGGCGCGCGTTTACACGAGCATTTGAGCATCGTGTTAGATCGATGTCAAATTGTGAAGACCATTTCTCCCCCTTCAAAAAATATCTCTATATATGCATTTGTGAACTGTTATTTACGATATTTGTAATAATTTTTGTTTAATCACTTTATTTCAACTATTTTTTGCTAATTATGTATTCGCTCGAACTTTGTTAAAACCTTAACCGTATTCCAAACAACAACCGAAGTCGTTGGAGGAAATTCGCCTATTTTACCGATCTAGGATCCCCCTTTCCCAAATTTTAATATCGACTCAAAATAATTTAAAAACACAAATTACAATAAAACGGTTTATTATCCAACTATCAGAAATTCCACAACATGCCAAGGAAGAGAGGAAGGAGCAATTAAATAATCAAAATTATAAAGGATTTAAAAAAATTATATAAAAATGAGGAATATCGCACTTCTAACAATCTCTGTGTGTATGTATAAATATAACTTATTGTATTTTAATATTGTTATGTAAGAGCACGATCATAATAAAGAGTGTTATTCATATATCATCTGATGTTATCATGTTTTGTCTTCTGTACTGGGTGTGTTCGAATCAACTGTCCTTTGAACTTATTCGTATCATATCTGAAAAGATTATTATATAATGTGATGACGAGCTGTTTCATAGATTCTAGTCAAAATGATAATAGATTATATGTCATATACAAAAAATAAATGTGATCGGTAAGCGAATTTTTAGAAAAAAATAAGTTACATTACATGTTTTTGAAAACTATGTTTTAAGTTAGATAAAACTTAGAATTAAATATCTCAAGTAAAATTATGCCTAGTCAGAATCGGTATCCGTTTATTTAATTAACTTTTTGGTTACTACACGATAAGAGTACTATGTAAGTTGTATACTATGTACTGTACATTATTACTTACATTACTTATAGTCTTGCAAAGTGTGATGTGATCTACTATTCAAATTTTCAGCAACAGCAAAGTTGCTAGATATTGCAAAAACATCATCTTAATTTTTTGGAGATAGTGCTCCATCCTTATTCAATGCTATTTCCGGAGAAATATTTTGTCATCCATTCAAAATTTTCTTCATCAAATCTATGAAAAAACTTATTACAATAACATTTCCTTACAATTCTTCTATGTTTATTTTCCTCTATATTACTATTTTGTGAATCGAATTGCTATGATAAGAAATTGGAAAATTTTAAGCATTTACTAGAAAAATGAGAATTGCTAGTGTTTTATCACACTACTTTAGCTTTCACTTGAGAAGCAAGTAAACGTTCAACCTTTTACTACTAGTAAGTTATAAGTAAAAGCTAGCTTTCAATTATAAAATCTGTAATCTTCAATTAAACACTTACGTTTAACTCTTAATTATATGACCTACTGTTTTAAAGAATTATATTCGTTGCTTGTTCTCAGGAACTCAATTCTCAGAAACTTATTCAAATCTTAAAAGTTCTCAATCCATAAAAGTATTCGATTCTACTCTTGGTGATCGATAGAAACTATTAAGGCATCAGCCTTATTGCTCGAAAAGACCCTGGATCGAATTCGGCAGCCCATTCCCATACCCGGTAATTCACATTGTGAGCTTGGCTTTACCATGATTGGTATGAAAAAGATCTTAACCACAAGACGGAAAGAGCCAAAACAATATAAAAATAACCTCTCTATATTATAAAACTAGGACTTTGTGCGACTTTGTCGTATCGCGATAGAATTGAAACGGGGCCGGAAGAAAAGAAGCAATCCCTGCACCTGTAAGGCACAGAAGAGGCGATTCTTGTACTTGACGGACCCGGACAAATGAATTTTGTGGGGCTACAATCGTATCTGCAGTCCGATCCTTGCACTGGCTAAGTACGGAGAGACGATCCGAGAACAAAACAATCGATGGCAATTGTTTTGTTCTTATGTTTTGTCCGTTTCTCGCGCCTATTTTCCGTTAGGCCACGCAATGCTATTTTTATTTTCGACCTCTAGACGTAACTTCTGTTAGGTGTACTCAGTCGCATCAGAGAACACAGACATTGTCACTGTAATACAGTACCTTTGTACTGTAAATCGAAAACGAAGTCATGGATTCCTATTTTTTACCTTCCAGGTTATTAGCATTTACAATTTTTTAATAAAGCCCATCCCTATTCTCAAAATGAAGCTTTTTGCCATTTTATAATAATTAAAAATGTAGATTTTTAATGAAATATCGTAACAGATGCCACCAAAATTTTAAATACTGCCGGGAAAGTTAAGCGATTCGTTGCTAAATTTTTTACATATAAATGGACTCACATTATATTTCTAAATTCCTCATCTCAATTAATGGAAAAAGGCAAAGTTTAATCAAAATCGATCGAACAGATTTTGAGAACGAACACAATTCTATAAGCCTCTTACGAGAGGCTTCCCTCCTAATCCTCCGCCTCAAATATATATCGTATTCCATTCTTCTATATATTTTTACTAATAATAAATCAGAAATTTAAATATATTTCTATTTTTTAAACAAAATTTTAAAAAGTGCTGATAAAATTTTCATATCAGTTATTTATAAATAAGGAATTTGAAATGAATTTTTAAGACTATAAAAGGGAAAACTATTCGGATCCACTAGCTTCTATTTTTAAAAACTAATAAAAAATTTTCTATAGAAAAAGTGTTATATTTTTAACACCATCTGCTGAAGATTGTGTACAGTACATGACCAGTCTATATTATATTTACCTCGTCAGCAATCCAGTTCCTAACCATCCATGCAAAAAGTTATAGGGCCAATTCTTATCGACAAGATCACTGTTGTTTAAAACTACCTAAATATTTTATGATGTATATAAATATAAAATTATTAATTAAGTACTTTTTCGGTTATTAATATTCTTACTTCAGCAAATTCTGGACAATAAATCATTACAACTTTAAGGAAGTTCCATCGAATTTGATATATTTTTTCATCTTTGTAGATATTGCACCAACAATTAACAGTATTGTTAAACCCTATTTAAATATTTATTTATTTATTTATTTAAATTCTTATAAACGTAAAAATTATTTTATAAAATACTCACATACTCCAGGATGATATTCGTTTTCTCTCTGCTCTTTACTCTTGGTTAACCTTAACTTGATTAAAGTATAAATGAATGGAAGTGACGAAAAATTAGGGATTTCGCTTTCTTTTCTGCTTTGTTTTATCCAAAAATAAAATCCAAAAAGTATCAAGAAAAATGCAACAATTAATAACTGACTAAACATTATAACAGTTTTAAAATTTTACGATTTTAAGAGACTTTCGACTCCTCTCAGTCGATATCATATCGTCAGTCACATGCTTTATATGAGTCAACTCCTTATAGTTTATCTAAGTCTAGTAACGATTAAATGGTTATATAAGAACAAAGTAATCGAAGGCGATGAACATTATCACTTTAAATGCAAGACATTCCACTCAAAGGTAAGTGTATATTTTTATTTTATAACTATATTTGAAAGAATTCTCGACTAAACACTTGTTTATTGTAGGCAATCGCTCGCCTCTCAACACGAAGAAAAGACGAAGATATGTGAAATGCTCGAAAGTAAGTATCTATTTTTATATTGGCTCTACTTTATGAAGAATTTTCGTCTAAAAATATGTTTATTTAAGCAAATTATGATTCTTTTTTTGTGTACAGATTTTTAATTCGTTATCGTCATTTAAATCGTCATTGTCTAGAATGTTATAAAAGTTTGTTGTTTGGATGCAATTTGAAAAACATTGTAGACTCATAAATTCCCTTTGTCGTCTATCTGTTTGTTTGTATTTTCTGAATCTGGAGGAGAGAGTTAGACAGATGAACGTTTAGCAACTATTCCTGGCAACTACAAAGGCAGTTGGTCTCGACTATATATGAACATTTGATAGAAACTGAAGGTTGTGCTATTTCATTTCAAATATTTTTAACCAGAAGTGTTAGATAAATGGCTGGCAAAATTCTATTGTTAAAGGAAAACTATGACGTACAGGGGCAAGCCAATACAAATTTCAGGTGGAGAGCATATATTTGAAATAAAATAAATTTTAAAAATACAATTAAAAAAAGCAGCCTGGCATTGTGGCTATATCACAATAAATAATTGTTCGTTAGAATATTAATCTTATATTCCTATTATAGAAATAAAAGTGAGCGTAAAGAAATATATAAAACGTGATTTAATTTATTTTATGATACATTAGAGTCTACTTATTTATTTACTACTGTCAACTCATTAAGTGGGGTTTATAGCAGTGGGGTTAAGGCAGAAATTAGTGGACATTTTTATCGGCATTACAAGTGAATTTTATCAACTGTGAAATGTTTTTTGAAAAATTTCTAAAAATTCAGAATGATATACGTTTTAAAAAATACTCTAAATACAAATAAAAATTTGATGACTTCGCACATCCTTTACAACCACAGAAACATAATTAGATAAAGCAGGATAGACTTTTCTTTTCAGGCTCTTCCCTGATTACCAATAGAAGGGTTTCAAGGTCGCATTTCACGTGATAAAACGCACGTTGATTTCGTCCCCTTCGCCATGTTTATGGTCTAGCTTCCGCTTTCTTAGGTTGCATGTGGTTTTGTTATTTAACAGGTGGGCAGAGCTTTTTTTCTATTTAAACTTAATAGAACTGTAGTATTTTTATATCATGGACAAAATTTAAAAAAATGCGTTTCTGGCGAACTATTCCCGCAGTCTGACAGGACGAGATGCTGTTTTATATGAAGAGAAAGTTTCATTATATCAGGGTGCCGATCCATAATAAGCCAGCATTTTCGTTGTAGATCAAGAGTTACGGCCTAAAGTAGAATTTAGTGACATCATAAACTACAGTATTTAGTTTTGACGACAAATTACTACACTCTTTCACAAATGAAAGCTTACAAATCTTTAGAAGTCCATAAGTACCTTACAATTGTCTGGATTTCTCCCAACTAAGTGCTCTATCAGAACCCTCCTAACATGCCGTTGGGTTGTAGCTACTCTCTTGCTCCCTGTATAATGTTGGCACCCAGTCTGGTGATGCCATCGTACAATGAGGAAGGTTTTTCCCTGGAGTAAAAAAGCTTTTTCAATAATATATTATTATGACAATTTAATAATAAAAAGAACTTATTATTATGGTATGTTATATATAAATAATAAATAAGAATTTGTCAGGCACAACTTGAAGGTTACTATGTAGTCTATGCTATTTGTAGGTGAACAATGGAAATTATTGGTTTATATCTTAAAAAATACAAACCCTTTTATTTATGTAAATTAAACTGGAAGGATAATTGATTCAAAATCCATTTTTAATTCTTCATCTGCTAAGTGACTATCTTTGCTTAACACTTTAATATTAACTCTACTGCATATTTATTACAAGCAGACAGTAAAAACACAAATTGAAAGGTGAAAGATAGCTGGAATACAATTAATATTATCTATTCAAACTAAAATATGCGGTTGTTAAAATTATTTAACTTTATATTGTCGGTATTAACAAAAGGATTTTTTCGGTTAATTCTCGAGAGCCATGCAGATTGCCTTGGCCGTGAAAGCTTTCCATACGCAGTGTGAGCCGCCGGGGAGGTTCGAAGTTCCTCTCCTTGCCGGCCACAGGTCAATGACCTACTTTCTTGTCAAGGATGCCGTTTGCGTTCGGTTACACGTTACGCGAGTGGAGGAGAGTCAGAGGGGTCGACGATAAGACGATGGCACAGTCGAATAAAGACACCATTTAAAAACAAAACAAGAGTTTATTTAACTCGCTAACGAAATTAAAATTTACGAAAAATCTTCTAATTCGCGGATAAGAGAGAGAGTTTACAATAATAGTTCATACCTCTGGGAAAGTATTGGATGGATATTTCTTCTCTAATCGTCCCGAAGAAAGGTGCGAGGAGTGGCACAAGGTTTTCCAATTGAGGTCGTAAAGTATGGAGGAGGGCAAGGGATCCACTAGCTTCTATTTTTAAAAACTAATAAAAAATTTTCTATAGAAAAAGTGTTATATTTTTAACACCATCTGCTGAAGATTGTGTACAGTACATGACCAGTCTATATTATATTTACCTCGTCAGCAATCCAGTTCCTAACCATCCATGCAAAAAGTTATAGGGCCAATTCTTATCGACAAGATCACTGTTGTTTAAAACTACCTAAATATTTTATGATGTATATAAATATAAAATTATTAATTAAGTACTTTTTCGGTTATTAATATTCTTACTTCAGCAAATTCTGGACAATAAATCATTACAACTTTAAGGAAGTTCCATCGAATTTGATATATTTTTTCATCTTTGTAGATATTGCACCAACAATTAACAGTATTGTTAAACCCTATTTAAATATTTATTTATTTATTTATTTAAATTCTTATAAACGTAAAAATTATTTTATAAAATACTCACATACTCCAGGATGATATTCGTTTTCTCTCTGCTCTNAACTTTTATTATGTAAACATTTAGTTGTAGGAGTAGACTACGGATCGAAATCGGTCCAGGGAATTATTTGAAAACGGTTCACGAACCCACGTTTTCAAACTACTAATTAAACAGATCCTATGCTTAATAATATTTTTGCAAACTCCGTGGCTATCGATCGCAAAATGCGACTAATCAGAGCAATGATCAGTTCTCCACATGCTGATTATGCTAATATTTCATCCACCTTATATATATATATATAATTTGTAACAGTCATCAATTTACGTGATTTTTTTTCCAAATGAAACAGATCAGACGTGCAATGAAGATATGATTTATACACGTAAGGCAGAGTACACTTGACACTGAACAATATATAAGTACGCCTTCTCCAATTTTAGTATGATCTTGCCATTCCATTATATATAAAGAAAAAGCAAATAATGTTTCAGAATGGTAATAAAACTCTTGTCTACAGAAATCTTCCTACTCGATGATGAATGGTCTACTACTGTTTATAATATTCTAGCATCTATAAATAATTAATATTAAATTATCTACATAATAAAATTAATTATAACTAGTGATGTAACGAATATTCGATTACTATTCGGTATTCGGCCTATTCGGCCTATTTTTCACTATTCGGCCGAATACCGAATATTTAATCACTATTCGGCCGAATACCGAATACCTAAAAACAGGAGTAATAAATAACAAAAACACAGTAAATTAATCGTTTTGGTATTTAGATTTAATGTTATCGAGTTAGTGTTGTGTGTTTATATTTATTTATAACTTGTAACATCACAAAATAAAAAATAAAATAATATTAGTCACATGTATTCACAATTTATAATTACAAAGATCAACACACGTACACGTCTATCGTTGGAGAATCCTCGCACATCTGAGGGTCTGACCCTGCCTATCCTTCTTTTTAAGCGCTCGTCTTTGCTCTTCCCTTTCTCTTTCCTCTATCGCTCTAATCCATGTATGCCTATGCATACATCATAATACGCGCTCACGATACTTTCGATTCGTCACTTTTCCGTCGTAGAGTTCCCATTTTACAATTACGTGACTCAGCCTGGTGATAACGGAGAAAAGAGACAGATAGGACGTCGATATAAGTCACAGTTATGATTTCACAGATTCGAGACAGCTTGATAGCCCGAACGGCCCCAGGCTTTCGCCCGTGCACGCTAAGTGACTTTCATTACAAGCATTTAGCTTTCCGAAGTCTATGACAACAATTGTTTGGCATTGACGGCCGCGAATTTCGTGCCAATAAGCTGCCTCGACTTGTTCGATTATGTTATCAACTCAATTTCATATTTATTTTCACATTTTCACTTCGCGGTCCTTCTCTGTTCTTTTTCCGTTATTTACACGTGTAGGTCATTTCATTGTTATCCACATTTGATATCATCATTTATCACATACTGCCACGACGCTCTTGTCTGTCCGCTACAACTGTCAAGAATTAACGCGATTGGCGAAGCGTAGTGACAATGGGCCAATAGAGAGCAGGATCCTTGCCATAATGCGGTTTGCGCGCCAATTTTCGTACGTGCGTTAATCGAGCCGAATAGTTTGGCCGAATATTCGGCTATTCGGCCACGCTCTTGGCCGAATATTCGATATTCGGCCTCAGGCCGAATATACTATTCGTTACAACACTAATTATAACACTTACCTATATTTATTTATTTACAGAGCTGACAAAATTTCTCTTTGAAACCTAAAACTTTCCTCGTAAGAATATAAAAAAAGTAGATACTTTAAAATGTCTAATCGCTATTGTGGTCAATTTCTACAAATTCGCTGCTATTATCTATCGAAAGATTCCGAATCTGAGAACTAATTTTACTATCGTCGGATACTTCCCTTTGGTGAATGATATATTATTTGCATTCGGGGTCGACTGAGCCACAACGGAAAGAACATGCTGTTGATTCTACAGTAGAATCAACAGCATGTTCTTACAGTAGATATACAGTACCTGTACCTGTATTATATATACAGGTGTACAACATTTAACAACAAACCACAAATAAAATGGCGGTCTCAAGATTATAATGATGCAGCCACAGTTGCCTTAATGGCTCACCGAGGTGCCCTAGGGAGCAGAGACTTCTTCACAGGGGAGCAAAAAAATATAAAATTTTTATAATTTTACTTCCATTTTTCAATTCAATTTGATAAGACGCGACATCTAGCAGACCTAACGCAAACCATTAACTTAGTAATAACTGTTTGTAGAAGCATCTACAAATGTTTACCAGATGGTGCTCTGCAATGATTTTCTTAATCATTTCAGTAGTTTGTCGAACTTTTTCGGTACTTCGTGTTCGTATATAAATAGCTGTCGGTTTCACGTGATTTCAGTGTTCATTTAGTTTTCTGATGAATACGGTCATAAGTAAGTCAAGTGAAGACTTTTAAGTATTTCTTCTCGTATGCATTTTAAAAGTTGATCTGTTTTTACTAAATAGTAATAAGTGTTGTGAGAGTGAAAGTAAAGATAGCGCACCATCAACGCAACCGGTGGTAAGTGTGTGAAGAACTGTAAATATCGAAAATATCATGGCAGTTATTTGGAGTTTTACGTCGACAGAAGTCAATAGTGAAGAGAGGCTGCAGTGTGTACTAGTGATTACAAATATTTGCAATAGTTCTTCCGCAACAGTCTTCCGCAATAGTTCTTCCTTTCTATCGGACTAACGGTATAGTGGCATTCGAATAGGAAAATTGTATAATACAAGGTTAGCAAAAAGAATAAAATTTGTTTTAAGTGGTTTTCGAGGGTGCCGAGTTTCTGGACAATGAATTATTGATGATACGAATTATAATGATACATTATCCGTTTTCGCGAAATTTGCTTGGTTGGCAGATTACCGTTTGATATGCGGCTGAGAATGGTACAGTTTCTTTGAATTAACATATCTTAAATCTGTTAAGGTACATTTTCAATCAATGTCTACTTGACCAAAGAAATTGTGTTATTTCATACCATCGGAGTATCGCGATAAACGTGACAATGGTTGGCTGAAATAACCAAACTCTTTATATAGTTTTCGTTTTTTAATCTTTGTTATATTATAGTGTTTGTATTAGATAACTATAATCTTATGTAAGGATTCGTTATTCGTCTACTGTAAACAATTAAAAATTTTTTTTAAATGTGTTAAATTGGTCACTCGGTGCGATATAAATGAAATGCTATAATATAATATAAATACGAAATAATCTAATATTCTTAACCGTTGTTGTTATTTTTTTTCCCGGGCAACGCCAAACTCATATGGTAGTTTATGTATAGGCCTATAGAAAATATAAATGCAAGTAAAAGCGAATACAGATAATTTACTTTCAGAAATATTATTTTTTTAGAATAATAATTTCTTGGCTTATCCGTTCTTTTTAAAACAGAATTTATTTATTTGATTTTTCAGATTTTCTTAATTTTATTTTTAAATTCGAATGAAGGTAATTCCGTTTTTATCCTTAAGGGAGCGCGCATAATTTTAAACGGCTGGAATTTTTGTTTCGAATGGTAAGTCCGTTTTCTTCCAACGATTTGAAAAATATTTAAATACTTTAATGATTTGGTGAGATTAATTCTTTATTATCCAATATTTTACTATATTAAAGTTTCACATCAATAAAGTAACTTAGAACTTATTGATTAACAATAATTCTGTTTAGCAAAATGAACAAAATATTAATGAAAAATTCGAAACTGTTTTAGCCTAATTTAATTTAAATTAAACATAAGTCACCAATTCGATTGCCGAATTATATAGCATTTACTCAACTCTAACACGAAACTTTTATGCAGAAGTCAGATAAAATTCAATATTAATTAAAACCTAAATTATGATTATTTATTTGTGTGGACATTTTGAACTCGTTATCGGTATTTAAACCCATTGTTATGATCTAGAATGTTGTAAAAATTTTCATATTGGGCTGCAATTTGAAAAAATTGTAGACATAAATGTAGGAATATTGACAGAATAACGCTCGTAATAATCTTCCAACGTCTTCTCGATAGAACGATGATGTTCTACAATCGTAACGTCTTTTCTTCTTAGCGCCTTTTTCAACCGTCGTCTCGTTCTCTTCTCGCCCAAATCTTACATAAATTTCCACTTTTTTTTATACTCTTTCCGCCCTGTGGGCACTAAGTGAGCCTCTTATAGCAGGCCCACAATGGGCGACCGGATGGTGAGGGACTGGGCCCGGCATTTCCGAACGAACCACACCCCGAAGGATTCCGTGACCCATCCGGATTCGATCCCGCGTCTCTCAGAGCAGTAGGTTGACACCTTGACCGCTCGGCCATCCGACCCAATAAATTCCCACTGTCGTTTGACTGTTCTATTTGTCTGTCTTTCCTTAATCTCGAGAAGGAAGTTAGACAGATGAACTGCGAGTATAGTCCTGCAACTACACAGGCAGGAGGTCCCGATTTCTATATATGAACTTCTGATGCAAATTGAAAGTCACATTGTTTTAATTCAAAAGTTTTTCCCGAAATATGTTAGATAGACGGTCGCCCGACTCTATTGCTACACGGGAAAAGTACGATCAGCAATTTCCTGTGAACAATAGGTAATTTCATGCGGAGAGCACATATTTGAAATTAAATAAAATTTAAAAAATAAGATTAAAAATTGAAGCCCGGCATTGTGACAATGCCACAATAAATAATTACTCGTTAGAATATTAATCTTATATTGAAAAGAGAAGAATAAATCAACACAAAACGGTGTTAAATAATTTTAAATTCTTTCCAAGCTCTTTCGACATTCCTATAATTGTGGTCTTTAGGCAATAACTCAATTCGAATGCTTTTTCAGAACAAATTTAAAGTTCAGAAACGAAACGGTATTAACCGAACGGAATACAAAACTTAGAACATAAAATTTAAAAACATTTTCAAAAATATCACGCAGTGTCTACGCGCGTGCGCTTTGAGATGTGGAAACAAACACATAAAAAGGTGTAT